AAATACATAAATAGAGTTCTCTGGGTTTTGTTTTGTTTTGCATTTTGATTGGATGGGGTTTTGTTTTTTGGTTTTGAGATAGGGTCTCCATATAGCTCCAGTTGGCCTATAACCCACTATGCAGACTAGGCTGGCCTCTACCTTATGGAAATCTGGCTACCTTTGTCTCCAGAGTGCTGTAAATAAAACTGTGCCTGGATTCATAAATATTGGGGGGGGGTAAATAAATGATGGTCTCTGGCTGGGAATGCTAAAGGCCATTCAATGGACTTGTTTGAAACAGCAAAACTGACCCCTTTAGAGTCTGACCACACAGAATCCAACCCATCCCTAACTTCACTTCTGTTACCACATGTATGGAACTGTGTCCACACTACACCTTCACTCTCAAGGATAAACGTTGGGACAAAGTCACTGCAATTGGGTCAGTTGAGCAAATCTGACCTCTATTTCCAGTTCCTGATTTGGAACTCAGGGATCACATGGGCTTGAAACTATGCCTGCTGGTATCTTTGACAGGCAAGCTTCATCTGCCATGTTTATGTGTACACGTTTCATGAGCAAGAAACACTATGAGAAGTGGAGATCAGTCAAGAGAGAAAAGAGCATCATGAGCAAATCACCTGGGGGAGAAAACATACAAATCTGGCAAACCAGACCATCTCAAAGACACAAGAATATCTTATTTACTTTCCTAACTCATGTGAAACAAATTGTTCCAGGAATAGAGTGATAATGGAACAATTAAGTTAATGAGCCATTATGGGAATTCAACCATGGAGGCAGTAGAGACACTAAATACTTCCCCCTTGATCCTCTCACCTGTAGTTTAGCAGTCCAAGAAATCAGGGAGCAGAGCTGTACCCTCAAAAGGGACCTAACACTTGATGTCACCCCCTGCCTTTCCTCGGTGCTGAGCTGAACCTCTGTCATCTAGGGAAGAAAGGTTGCAGAGACCACAGCACTCCTGGAGGTTCTGATGGGAAGCGGGTATGAATGGAGATAGTGCTCTCAAAGGGGGCCTTGGGCTCAAAGGGGAGATGCAGTGAGGAGCCTGTTCAGTTAAAGTGTTCTGCCCAATTAGCTCCTGTGTCTCTCTCAACTTCCTCTCAGCTTGATGCCTTCCCTCCCTCTTCTTCAACCCAATTCTGTTATCTTTCAGCTTCTTAGGGTAAATTGATCTTCTCTTAGTTCCCTGCATCATTCAAGGATTTCTTAAGAATTCAGCCATCTCTATCATTTTTCTGAACACTAAAAAGATTTCATTATCCTGTATCAAATATTTTAGAGTCTGGGGAGAAGACTCAGTTGGTAAGCACTTGCTGTGTGAGCTGAGGACCTCAGTTTAGATCCCCAGAACCCACAAAAAACCTGATGTACCTATAGTGCAGACTATAATCCCAATGTTCTATCTTATAATGGGAGGCAGAGACCAGAGAATTCCAAAAAGCTTGCAGTCCCGCCAGCAGCAAATAAGAGACCCTGTCATGAACAAGGTGGAAGGTAAGGGTTGACAGCCACGGTTGTCCTCTGACCTCCCCATGTGCACTGTGGCATACAGGCACACACACACACACTAAGATTTTTAAAAATTCAAATTGTCGTGAGCCGGGACTCTGTCCAGCAGAGTCCAGGAAAGACGACACAGACACCAAGGTGAGGTTCAAGCTTCTGTTTCTCTTCCTTCCTTTATTCTCTCTTATTCTCTCTCATATTCTCTTCATTATCTCACCCACTATGATGCTGCTGCTCGTCGTTCTCCTATATCTCTCACTTCATTCTCCCTTATCTCACACCTCAGCTGTTCATATAGCGTTTCCAACAGCCCTCCCCCAGGCCAGGACCAATCAGGGCACACACACGTGCAGCGGGCAGGCAGAGTGGCAGCTCATTGGCCACGTAGCAAGATCATCAGGCAGGCAGCACCTGTTCGGGCTCACCATGCTTGGAGTAAACAAGCGAGGATCACGAGCCTTGGCAATCAGCCAAGAGTTGAAGTAAACAGCACGAGGCTTGGCAGCCAGCCAGGGCGCCATCTTTGGCTGGCTCGGCCGTGCTCGCTTCCCACATCAAATGTTTGTCACTCATTTTACTTTTTATTTTATGTATCCTTAATATTCTTTGCCATTTTCCAATAAATATATTAATGACTCTATGACTTATAAATATATACACTTTATAGACAAAATGTATTAGCTTTGTAATATTAACCAAATATCAACCAAGTAGACTATTTTTACATAGAAACACCTGTACCACATTGCCTCATTCATTAATTTTAGTTTATCATTCTGACTACTGGTCTTTACTTCTCCTTTACCTATCAAAGGCATCATCCAGAAAGTATTTCTACTTTCAAGGATTATACATATCCATGTTTATGCTATTTATATATTTACATTTTCCTTAGAGCTCAAGTCATCAGTTTTTTCTACATCAAATGATTAGTTTATTTGAGAATATGGAACTGGATTTAACATCATATTGCCTAAACAGACATCGCTGAACACTTGTTTATACTTTTGCTAAAACTGTCTAAAGTGCTCAGACATAAAAGATATGAATTAATGATAAAAACTGCATATGATAGAATTTAATCTGACAGTGAGAATTATGTCATATAGTACAGCTCTAGGATTATTCACTTGAAAGGCATGAAGAAAACTAGCAACTCTACATCTTATCGTGAATTTTAACAATGCTGGAATTTCAAGTGAATAGAACAGAACCTGAAAGGGATGTAATGTGGAAAATGTAATGAATTCCTCAAATTTTTTTAGTTAGTTTATGTATGTTTACTTGTGTTCATCTGTGTGTGGGTGCGTGCACATCAATGCAGGTGCCCATGGAGATCAGAAGAGGGCATCAGATCCCTGGGACCTGGAGTTACAAATAGTAGGGAGCCATACAACAAGGGTGTTAGGAACTGAACCCTGGTCCTTTGCAAGACAAGACTGTGATCTTAACTACTGAGAATGTGATGAATTTATTGAAAACTATTACAGTAATTAAAAGACCCACAAGCAAAACAATACACCTCATCAAGGCAGGTAAGAAGGCTTGTTGTTGTTGTTGTTGTTGTTGCAATAGTAGTGATGTATTGTGGGGGAAGTGCATTCATACTGATGTCAACCTTGAAATACATGAAAATACTGTTAACAACTAATAAAGATAATTTTGTGTTTTAAAATGTTCAGGAAATTTTACTAAAAAAGGGAATGAAATTTCAAGGGAGAGTTGTCCATTACTTCAATAAGAATTTGAACATATACACACAAAAGAAAGGTATTTTTTTTCTTAATTAATTTATAAATTTAACAGACTCTGAAATTCCAGGAGCACTTTTCTTCCAAATGGCTATGTGAAAATAAACATGCAGCAGTGATACCAGGTGGCCTTCTCTATTCCACATTTAAGTCTATCATGAAAACAGGGAAGTAACTGAAAATCTGCTATGAGGATATATGCGATTATTTAAAATAATGTGTTGATTGGAATGTGACAAGGAAATACATAAACTTTTTAAGAAATCAAAGGATACATTTACAGATTGTCCCAAGACAGGAAAATATAAAATGAAAATTAAATTGTATTTGTCATAAGAAAAATTAGAAAGTTATGTAAATATCCACAATGGGCAGGATTTGTCAAACAATACATATGGTAGAATATTTCACATGATCAGAGTCAGGGGCCAAGAGGGAGTGGCTCTGTTGATGGAGCACATCCCTAGCAAGGGCAAAACCTAGGAGCCTCCTCCCATCACTGGCGAAAAAGTCCTCAGATGATGGCTCACTTTAGATGCTTGGAGCTCTCTGTGTTTCAAAATTATATTCTGTAGAATTTGTATAAAAAATAATATAACAGAAATATAAATAATGATTAGATTAAGAGTGGATATTAACAGTCATGAGCAGGCTCACACAAGGAACAGAATATGTGACATGTAGAAATTATACACACACACACACACACACACACACATACACACACACACATACACACACACACATATCCCCCCCAAAAAAACCAAAGTTCTGGTTATTGGCACATATAGTTAGACTTCGGAAATTCCCATCCACATATGCATTAGACAGAACATAGCAGAGCTGCCACCAGGGATGCTGGAGAGGGTTGATTGCACAGAGAACCAAGCAGCCATGGGAACTGTGGTCCTCATAAGAGTGCAGACATCGGGATTCCCAGATAGCTTACAAAACATATATCAGATCACTGATACCACAAAACATATGGGGCTCAGTTGGTCTGAAGGAATTCCAAATACCCATTTCTAACAAGTATTAGAGTGAAGCTGAAGTTGGTTTTCCAGGGAACATTGTTTGAGAACCAACGATCTACACCAACATTTTTAGGTGAAATGGTAACAAATTGTTAGCCAGAAATGAATGATTATTCACAATGCATGACTACTTGAGTTCCTTGGTTATTTTTGCTTTGTTTGTTGTTTGTTTTAAATTTTTGTTGCATTTATTTTACATATTTATCTTTATTATATTTTAATTGTGTATTTCTGCGTGTTCATGTGTGTGTAGGTGTGAGCACATAACTGTAGAGGCCTGAGGAGTTGAGAAGAGGGCATCAAATCTCCTGGAGCTCAAGTCACAGGTAGTTCTGAGCCATCTGACATGGGGACTGGGACTGAACCCTGGTCCACTAGGAGCATTACCAGCTCTGTACTTCTGAGCCTTCTCTCCAGCTCCTACATTTACTTTTATTATGTGTGTGTGCGGGCACATGCGCATGCATAGCACATGAGTGAAGGTCAGAGGACAACTTGTGGGTGTTTTTTTCTTCCACTTTAAGGATCCTAGGGATCAAATTCACATTATCAGCCTTGGAGAAAGGGCCTCTACGTGCTAAGCCATTTTACAAGTCTAATACTTAAGGGTTTAATAGAAGATACTGTCATCACTTTGACGGGAGTCTACCTGTAAATTCTGTGCTCTGTTTTCCCTCCTCTAGGTAATCCCGGCTGTCCTATGGAAAGAGGAAACCAAACGGGAGTTAGAAACTTTCTCCTCCTGGGATTCACAGAGGACTCTGAGCAGCACTTCCTCTTTGGACTACTTCCTGCTCATCCTCCTGGCTATCATCTCAGACCCCCATCTACACATGCCCATGTACTTCTTCCTCTCCAACTTGTCCTTGGATGACATTGGCTTTACCTCCACCACCATCCCAAAGACACTGGTGAATATTCACATGCAGAGCAAATGCATCACCTTCTCAGGCTGCATCGCACAGATTTTTTTTTTTCATTGTGTTTGGGTGCCTGGACAATTTACTCCTGATAGTGATGGCCTATGACCGTTTTGTGGCCATCTGTCACCCCCTGCATTACATGGTCATCATGAAGCCTTTTCTCTGTGGGATGCTGGCCCTGGGGTCTTGGTTGATCAGCCTCATGGGTTCCCTTCCCGGGACTTTGACTGTGTTGAGGCTGTCCTTCTGTGCAAACATGGAAATCCCACACTTTTTCTGTGACCTTCCTGAAGTCCTGAAGCTCTCCTGTTCTGACACTCTCATAAACAACATTGTGGTATATTCTATAACTGTAGTCCTAGGCATTTTCCCTCTCATTGGGATTCTATTTTCTTATTCTCGGATTTTCTCTTCCATCCTGAGAATTTCCTCTGGTGGAGGCAAGTACAAAGCCTTTTCTACTTGCGGGTCTCACCTGGTGGTGGTCCTCTTATTCTATAGCACTGGTCTTGGGGTCTACCTCAGCTCTGCAGCCACACCATCTTCCAGAATGAGTCTGATTGCCTCAGTGATGTACACAGTGGTCACTCCCATGCTCAACCCCTTCATCTACAGCCTGAGAAACAAGGACATGAAGGGGGCCTTAGGGAGACTCTTCAGCAAGATGTGCCTCTTGAGGGACCATACCTGGATGTCCATGAGAAATGATTCCCAGGCTACTAAAAGCAGATCCGCACACCTCCATGCGATGCATTGACTACATTTATTTTTTCAGAAATAAGGTAGTATTCATTTATTATTTGAGAACTTCAGATCATCATATCTGAAAGGTCTCAGATGGAGGCTCAAGAGGGACATGGAAACAGATTTTTGAGATTAAGAAGTTTGTTAGAAGAGTTATTAACATCATGAACAGACAGACAGACAAGAGCGTGGCAGGGGATCTGAGGAGATTTCAGGCCACAGCACCAGGGATAGACAGCATGACAGGGGCTCTAAGGAGAGGAATCAGGGCTGATGTGGCACAGTCAGGGTCCTTTCTTATAGCTCTCTCAGGAAGGGGTAGTTCTCTCTGAGGAAACAGGTTGGGGTGAGGTGGGCCTGCAGCCAGCCTGTCTGATTCCCAGGGAAGAGACAGGGAAGAAGGTGAGAAGCAGGATGTGTAGCCACCAAAACCTTCTTTGATCTAAACTCTCTTCCACCTGGAAGTCCTATAGCTGGAGATTCACAGACAGTAACAGACAACACAGAGAGCACAGTAGGACGCCCCCAGTATCTGTGGAAAGGGAAGGGCTTCTTCAGGCTTTGTGGCCTGAGCAACAGTCTGGTCTGGGTTCTAACATCACATTCTTACAATATTCACACACCCCCGTTTTACCCTTTCAATGCCCCCTGGCTCCCCCTCAACACATCTGCCTCACAACATCATCTCTCTTTTTTTTTTTAAACAACCCACAAAATCCAATGAATGCTGCCCATATGTGTAGGGGTGGGGCTGACCATCGGGGCGTGGGCAACCTGACAGGGGCCCCACCTCCAAAGAATGACTCTCCCTCCCCAGCATCCATCAACTACAACAGCCAATACTCCTCAGTTAGAGGTGGAGCCTCATAAGGTCCTCTCCCTTCAAGCTGGAATGTTGACTGGTTTGATCCTGTGCAGGTCTTGTGCAGGCTACAACAGCTGATGTGAGTGACAGCGGTCCTGTCCTGTCCAGAAGGCAGCATTTCACTGCATTCCTCCCCATCCTCCAGCTCTTACATTCTTTCCACTTCCTCTTCTATGTGTTTTGACTACATCTTAAGTAACTCCTTCTTTCCTCTTCCTTTCCAGTCCTTCCTGCCCTAGGTGCTGTTTGTAAAAGAACATTGGATTACCCTTCTCAACTTCTAACCTGTCATTTTAACTTTGTGTGAATACAGCCTGACCATTCTTTTATGCTATCTATAGTAATAATATATTGGAAATCGTAATTAAGAGCTTTGGAGCAGGAAGAGCACCAAGACAGCAGCAGAGTAACAGCAGCGAGTGGGGGGAGTCAGGACAAGACAGGAGATAAGATGGGGGAGATAAACTGGAGTCCCCCCCCCCCGTGGTTACCCAGGATAGAAATCTTTTGTTCTCCAAACTTTCACATTCCGGTAGCTGTTCCAGCCGTGTACTTATTTATCACATGTATTGCTGTTTTGCCTTTTGCTTGCATTTCCTCATATGTGAATATAAAAGCCTCCCCAAACTGGAGGGGGCTGCTCTGACTCCTTTACAGAAGAATATGTGGTCAGTCCTCTAGAGTGAAATTAAAATCCCTCTCCTCACCTGCATTGGACTTTTGGTCTTTGATTTTTCTGTAGTAGAAATAATATTAACTCAAGGATTCTGCCACCCTACCCGGGGACAAGGATCAGAGAGATGTCTTGGTAGGTGAGGGTGGTCCTCATGAACATGCATAACAACCCAAGTATGGATCCCCAGCACCCATGATAAAAAGCAAATAGGCATGCCTATGCACATCATCTTGAGAGAAAACCTATTGCTTAAAACAATTACTAGGACTGGAGAGGTGGCTCAGTAGTCAAGAGCCCTTACTAGTAGCTCTTGCAGAAGATAACTGCCCTGTAACTCCAATTTCAGGGATCCACCACCTCTGCTGGCCTCCAGGGACACCTGCGCACACATGACATATATTCACACAGACATACACAGTAATAAAAATAAAACTATTTTTTTAAAAAAACAAAGTGTGTAAGAGTCAAGATGGTGAAATGAGATGTGCCATGAGCAACTGGCTTTCAGCCCTGGTTGGGCTGGTCCCTGAAATGCTGAGTGGGTGTGCTGGAAGATGTGTGGAACTGTGGAACCTGACCTTACATCATTCCTGACCTTAGGTGCTGTTATAGTCATGTCAAAATTCTGCGACTTGGCAAAATTTTGTTTCCTTCTCAGCAGATAGTCCTAATTCTTTTTTAAAAAATTATTTTGTGTTGTATTTTTTAAATTTTGTGTGTATGAGTATCTTGCCTGCATGTAAGTGCAGCACATGTGTGCATGGGATGAGAAGAGATATTCCCAGTAACTGGGTCCCCTGTAAGAGCAGCCAGTGTTCTTAACTGCTGAGCCGTCTCTCCAGCCCCAAATGTTTATTTTTATTTTATGTGTATGAGTGGTTTGCCTACATATGTGTACATGTGTCTACCATGCCTGTAGGAACCAGAAGAACGTGACAGATCCCCTAGAAGTAGAGTTAAGTACAGGAGTTAGCCACCATGTGGGTGCTGGGCACTAAACCCAAGTCCTCTGCAAGAGCAACCAGGGCTCTAAGCACTGAGACACCCCTCCAGCGTAGTTCCCATACTTTCGTTCAGCCACTTTCCCTAGCGCCATGCATATGTCATTGTTCACATCACCGCCACGATTTGCAATAGAAAGACTGCTTTTCCTTGTTCCACTTCTCAGATCCAGCACAGAGATGTCCTCAGAGTGCAGCTGCACTACTGACTGCTCTGGGAGGAAAAACAAGCACCTTGGGTTTGCTGCAGTTTGTTTATTACAAAGAAATCATTTTGCCAGTGGAAGGAGGATGTTTCATCTTTAAACGGTGTTTAGGTTGTGGTAATTGTGAAGTCTTTCTTTTTGCTCCACACTAGATTAAGCCAAAACCAATTACAGAACTGAGGGTTGTTTTTAAATGTCTCTGGTTTTGACATGATTATGATAGACATAATTGAGACTGTGAGCAGTAAATTCCAAGTATTCATTAAAATTTTAAATGAAAGTACTGTTTAAAAGTTGTCACACACACACACACACACACACACACACACACACACACTGGCTTGTCCTACTGCAGATTTATTAGACAAGAACAAACCTTTGTTATAATAAAGAAATATAAATACAAGATACCAGGGTTGGTTTCATGTGTGAATGAAACAGTCACACTTTGTGTACAGACACATTTTTTACATGTGTTAAATCCAAGTTTTAATGGAAGACTTTTATCTTGGAGAAGGAACATGTTGTTTTTTTCAGACTTTGGACAGTTTGTTTTTTTTATTTTATATTGAGCTTTTTTACATTTCAAAAGACCCCCTTCCCCACCCTGCCCCGCCGACACCAGACTTCATGTATTCCACCATATGCGTTAAGTCCTATGCAGTCAAGCATTTGTATGGAAGTCAAGCATATGTGTGTATGGAAGAGGAGCCAAGGAGACCACCAACCAGGCAACTCCATGGGGGTGGGGGCAGCAGTTTATTTGAGAGCAAACAGACCACTGGGCTGCCTCTCGGGGAGCAAGGAAACAGCAGCAAAGGAACAGCGGTGAGCAGGGGGAGTCGACATCTTTTCCAGGCAGTTAGGTAATTGGGTAACTTTCCATGATGTAGGCTGGCCATTTTAGCTCAGGATTTGTTGGTCTCTCAACAAGAAGAGGGACTTGCCTGGGGCTAAGTTCAAACCCACCATTTTAGAATATTCGAGCTGCTCCACCATTTTAGGAGCCTGCCAGGAACCTAACATTCCAGCCTTTTGTTCATGATAAGGGACGACAATGCCTTTCTTTAGCTACTTCCTGCTGGACAGGGACATCAGCTAAGGGGGTTGGTCTCAAAAGTCTGGAACATCAGTCTGGAGTGGGGGCTTGGTGGGCAGGTGGTGATAGGAGACCTGAGGGAATTCAGTTAAGAGCATCTGGTTCACTGACCATTGGAACATCTCACTGATTCTATCTTATAAAAAATTTAAAAGGCATGGAATAATTGTTACTATGAGAAAGATGGATACCAGTTGGCCAATGAGGGGAAGGAAAAGTAAAGGCAACAGTAATTAGGTACACATTCTAGGATGGGAACCAGGAGAAGTTGGAACAGGCTGAATTTTCAAATCAGAGTTTCTTGATGAGGGCTTCCAAAAGCATCCATCTACTGGGTTTCTCCTCATTTTTCTTTTGGCTGCCATGGCTGGACTGAAGATTTGCTTTTCATGTACTTTGGTAGTTGTTGGAGTGACTAGAATCACAGTGTGTTTTCTCCCAAATGACCTCTAGACAGGGAGAGAGAAAAGATTTAACCATCATTTCATTTTTAAATAAGAATAGTGTTTTTTTTTCTTTTGGTTGCAGGTAGGGACTTCAGGGTTGATTAGACCAGGATTCAAAGTCTTACACCTTCAGCATTTTCTTATTAAGAACAAAACCATTAGTGAGACATTGTCTAAATAACATCTTATATGAACTTATGCCTAATGTCTGGGAAGTTCACTCTTTAGACTCTTAATGAAATAGTCCAATAATTTTATTCTTTAGTTATACTTTCCTGTTGCATATTTAAGACCATGCAGTTGGCCCAAATAAACCAATTTATTTTTACACTCAAGGTCATTTGAGGATCTGTTCCTCGGGGTCATATGGGCTTGGGAGGAGCCCCTGGCTCCTTTCTTTTATCAGTTCCATCTATGTGAAGATAAGTCAAAGGTCCTGATCAACTGTGGATAGCTTCACTTGGAAGCATGGAGGAAACATTCCCTCTGTGTTGACCCTCCTCTTTGTAGACTGGACACTTGTTTGAGTCCTTCTAGTGGGGTCTCCATGACCTCCCTGAACTGGAGGACAGTTGACTCATCACAGTTACAGAACATTTCAAGATATGCTCCTTAGTCCCCTGAAATTTAGTCAACCTTGGAGGGCAAGGAACAAAAACTGTTCTATAAGTCCCTCTGACCAGATTAGTATAGGCCTCAAAGTAAGGCTGTTAAACACCC